TTAGCTCACAGAAAGAGTTCATATGTAGGCTTAACTAGCTGCTAACGCTAGCTTAGCGCTGCCGCGTAACTGACTGACCGCCGTTAATCGCTGAAGCTCAAACCTCTTACCTCTTTTAACGGCCTCGTCATACGAAAGGAAGCCTATCCGTGACTCCTTAGCGCCCATGGTGCCCTCATTTCATGGCAATGGCAGAAATGCGCAGAGTGTGACCGGTGCCTGTTGCCTTATTCTCCGTTGTTTTGTTTTTTTCGGTGTGGTGTTCCTATCAAGTCAAGCGGTAGAGTTTTGCGTTATCAACGAGTGACGCGTCTAAACGCCGACGCCTCCATACTCGATCACGTGAGTTTTGTCCAATCAGAGCAAAGGGGGCGTATTAGCGTCTTGCGCCCAGAGGTGGCTGTTGTGCCGTCGACTTTAGCTTCCGTGCTTGATATTAGATTTTTAGATATTGGCGTGGTTGTGAGGAGCCAGTTTAAGCAATTTGCACCGTGTTGCATCAGGGAAACAACACCATTCTTTTCTTTGCAAGGACATTGTGTATATGGGAATAAAATGGTTAATAATGAAATGATGACTTTCATAGACCAATAGCTTTTTCCTGGTGGTCAATTTAATGTCTTTTTTGGCATGGCGCACTGTGTGGAGGCAGCACTTTTTTTTGCTCTGGGGAGCCCTCAGCTATTTCTATTAATTTGATCACCCACGAAATCTAATTCAAATGTGCTATTGAATGTTTTAAAACATGTTGAGTCATGTCGTTTATTTTTATGTTTTAAAAATTGCTTAAATAGGTTACCTAGAAACTTTTTGCAAGTGATGATCTAAGAAATGCCTTTTTCGTAACGTTGAGCGTCATTGTAGTATTGTTTACTAGTCTTTTTTTTTTTACTGTGCTATTGTAGCATTTATGTTGAGTAGGCCTATATTTTATATTTTCCGTTTTGATTATAATTCTAGTATAAGGTTTCGTAATTTTGTTATGTACTTTTGTCATTTCTATGAGTTCTTATGTTTCTTACTTCAGCTTTATTTCAATTAACGAAAACGTATAGGTATAAGTGTTTGGTATCAGCAACAATCAATAACACTGGTTTGGTCTCTAATTTTTCAGGAATGTGTGATCTATACCAAATCAGTTCTGACCAGTAATTAATGCAAATTGACCCTTCTGTACACATAAGCATTTGGCGCCAACATTTCATTAATCATAATTAAGCTTCACCAATTAATACAATCTTTCAGACTCTTATCTTTTAGCGCCCTCCTATGGCATCTAGTGTCTGTGCAACACGAATGACTCATAAAACTTGGCATAAAGCCGGAAGAGAGCACTGTTTATCTGCCCTATCATAAATGTCACACATAAAGAAGATTAAATGTTTATGATCATAATGGCATTTTAATTATGTACTACTGCGCATATGAAGTCATTTAAATAAGATACGTGTTGTGCTAGACACGCGGCGGCTGCACAAGCAGAGAGGAGCATCTGTGATATGGGATTTAATGTCTTTTCTATGTACCCAATGTAATTGGTGAGTCAGAGTAATTATTACGTGTCATCTGTGTATTTGTTGCAGCAGCAGAACTCGTTTTAAAGAATCCAAAATATTATATCACTCCAACTACATTTACGCCTATATTTAATGCACTCTAATTATGGTATGATGCTATTTGTAATGTAAAATGTTTGTTTTTATAGGTTATATCCGAATTCTTCTTGTTCTCATTGCCTGTATGTGTTAACAATTATATTGGATGGTAGGTAGGCACATGAAAGCTAGGGAAATTATAAATACATGCACTCTTAAAAATAATGGTTCTATAATCGCATATAGTTCCATGAGAACCCTTTAACATCCATGGAACCTTTCCATTGCACAGAATATTCTATTATTAGTCAAAGGTTCTTCACAATTATAAATGAATAAAATAAAAATTAAAACAGTTCATTAAAAAGTTCTTTGAGGAATCCGAAACAGATCTTCTATGGCATCGCTTTGAAAACCCCCTTTTGGAACCTTTATTTTTAAATCGGATATTATTATACTATTATTATGCTATAATAATATACTATAATATCAGCAAGGACAAAGGCTGCTTAACAAGGGCCAGAAAAACTAGGGGGCCTCACTAAACGTCCAAGAGGGCCACAAAATGTCTTAAAATGATTTAGAATAAATTACATAATATTTATAATGAAATATGACACAGTAATAAATTATATAAGTAACTAAAATTAATCATTGTTATTCTTTTAGTTTTGTTTATTTTTATGCATTTTTATATCATTTTAGTTCTATTTTTACTCTCTTCTATGCTACATAAATAAAACTTTACTTTCTTGTTTATTATTTACATAATATATTCTGCTAAAAATATGTAAGTGCAGAATCTAACTGTCAGACTGGTGTTCCTGTTTTGTTGTGGTTTCTGTCCCCATGTGCTCCCGTGACCCAGTTTCTCCCTCTTGTTGATTAGTCAATTGGTTCAGGTGTGTCTTGTCAATTACCCTCCTTTAGTCCTGTATTTAAAGTGTTGTTTGCCCTATGTTCCTCTGTTCTGGTGTTAAACGTCTAGTAGTGCTGTGTGGGTCTCCTGCCTACCTGTGGTTCACCTTGGATGTTTATTAAAGTTGTTTGAGAAAATCCCTCGTCTCCGCGTTTCTTGCTCCTCACAGTAAATAACTTGACAGTATCATGCATCATAGTTCTTACTCTGGAGGAAAACCAGAAGCTTCTTGTGCACTGCTGAGTTTTACTTGTTCGCTTATTAGTTTAAGTATTCACAGTATGTCAGTAGTCACATTTATTGTTTTATTATTTTATCTTTGCGCCAGGGGTGGATGGCCGGGCCGGCCCGTCGGCTGCAGCAGACCTCTGGGTTCGGAGCGTGGCTGGATGTGGTCATTGACAATGTAGGACGTGGCATGCTCTGGAACATGCTTCATGATATATGTTCAGACAGCAGAGGTATGTACGTATGCTTGTCCCAAACATATTTGTATTAGTTTGAATGACTTTGCTCTCTGTGCTTGTGAAGTGGGGCTGGCTGGTGTCTTCAGTGGAGTGGTGTGTGTATTTGTGTGCAACCACAGTGCCAGAGGTGCCCAATGGAAGAACTCGTTCACGGAGAGCCCGGTTTGGGTGCAGGCAAAAGGTATGGCAACAAATTATTTTTTTTCTTTTTAAACCGTAAAATGTTTGAACGTCTAAACCTAAAAGACAATGTACGTCTTTTCACATTGCACTTAAATCCATCATTCTAAACCCCACTTTTAACCCAAGGTAGAGGAAGTTTCACAGTTGTAATTTATAAACCCCATTTACCTTGGGTTTAGAATGACCCATTTTAATTGTGAAAAGCCCTGATGAATGCTGTTCTTGTTGCAGGCTTCAAGACTCCTTTGGACATTCTGACAATAGTAGGGCTCCATGTTTTACCCGTGTGGCTGTATGGCTACCAGTACGAGGTGTTGTTGCAGACTCTCTTTGCCCCAAACTGGCTACAGATTCTGGGAATTCTGGTGCTGACAGCGAGATGCTAACTGGGCTTTGCAGTTGAGGTGAGGAGCATGTTTACTCTGCATTATTAGTGTGCTTTTACTGTCACTAAGGCATTTCTGTGTAAATGCTGTTAATGTCATTTTGCAGATGTGGTGCATCGTAACCCATTTGAGATTCTTATTGGATGAAGAGGAAAAGAAGAACTAGGGATCTCTAAAGGCTAATTTAGGATGTAGTAAGGGTTTCAGATTGAAATTCATATTTTATAAGGCTTCTGGTCTAATAAACAGCTGGGAAAACAAACACTATCTCTGTTACTGGGCTTGTGGAATGTAATTTATGGAAAGGAAAAACCAGTTTACCAGGGAGTAATGTTGCAGGGTTCTATTTATATTTTCTTGAAAACCCTAAAAAAAAAAGCGTCCTTTCCTTAACACTGCATTTTAAGGACTCTGGCTATGTATGTTAAATGCAGTTTTTAGGAAAGGAGGCTTTTTGCACGAACAGACACTAACAGTTTTTTTTTTCTTGATGCAAAACTTGCACTTCATGTATTTATTGTTTCTGCCATTCAAACAGTAATGAATGGCACTAGTAATGGTAAGGTCATGAGTCTGATTCTCAGGAAATACACGAACTGATAAAATAAGCCTAGAAATGCAATGTAAGCATCTGGTAAATGTGTCAAATAATCAATAGCTGTGCAAATAAAGGGTATTAATTTGAAATATAATTCTTTTGTAAGATTATAAATGTCTTTACTGTCACTTGATCAATTTAATGCATCCTTGCTGAAAAGTATTACTTAAAATAAAAACTGAACAGTAGTGTATAATGAATTACATTAATATTATTTCAAGGACAGTAAATTGGGATTTAAAAAAAATGAAATCTGGTCATTAACTATGACTATAGTGAGAAAATATCTTCCAGACGTACACATGCCGAGTACAGTCTTTTATTCTTAATTTTTGTTCAGTCACCAATCCATCCGAAAGAGTGGTGTTTGTAGGATCCTCTCGCATTCATTCAACTCATAGACTCAACATATCACACTGACTTCAGGAACAGGTGGAGAATAATCATGTAAAGGCAAAAAATAAAGCAACTTTAATACTTCAGAAGCAATATTGCTCGTTGTAGTCTATTAAACAGCTCTATATAGTTTTTTTTTTTTTTTGTGTGTGTTAGAAGTAGTTACAGATTTTCACAATAGTGGATACAAATGAGTTTAATGATTTGGTGGTTACAGATGTACAGCAGACTCTACTGAGGGTGAGTTACATAAAGCCAATGATTGAAGAGTATCCAAGCAGAGGCTCATTGTGGCACAGGTTACTGACATTTCCAGGGTAACAGTCAGTATCAATGTTAAACACAATTTTCCTCTTCGTCATTGGATTTGATCAAAAACTCTTCTAGAGTGTCTCCAATGAATATAGACAATAAAAGAAAGTCCTAAGGGATCATGTCCACTCTTCGGTTGTTACTTCAAGGATCACCATCGTCCATCTGAAACAGCACTTTGGCTAAATCACAATCTACATGTGGCAGCATGTCTGAGGACTTCATAAAGATAATTAGCATATAAAAGGCCCCACTGTATCAGTTATCAACCCTTAATTACATTCTCCAACTCTCTGAGGGCAGGTTTCGAAGAAAAGTTGGAAGTGACAGGATTGCTTTTATTGTCAGAGGATGCAATTTATTAATTTCTGTGATCAGTTTAACACTTCAGAGTCACCAAGTTCTTTTTTTTTTTTCCTCTAATTTCATGGACATTTATTAACCGCTCAGTGTAAAAAAAAAAAAAAAATGTTTCTGTCACTATGGAGCTCACTGGGACAATAACCGGGACAATAGCCACTTGTAGCTATGCATCTACAGCTTTATACATTTACTTAAACATGCAAAAATAGAGAACGTTTGACCCAGAAGCACCTTGGATTTTTGGGGAACTGTGGTCTATTCAGATGGAGAAGCAGTTTGGATTTGATCAACAGTGATCAACCATCTTTGTAACCATGAAATACCACTTGAGGTTGACAAATAAGCCCTTGAATCGGCATTAAGAAGGAAGCAATCAGAGCTACGTTATAAATTCATTCAGCATCCATCCACCAAGCTTACTTGTTTCCCATGTGCATTAATTTTCACATTTGATGTTCATATTCCTAAACTCATCATCTGATATGAGAACTCCACTAATTCAGTCCATTTATAGCACATAGTCAATGGAAATGCACTTACAAAGTTTGCAAGATCACAGTTTATTTGTTACAATATTCCATCTCTCTAACCAAGGCAAATTCCTGTCCGTACCTTGCTGCCTCAAGTATGGTATTAAAGGAATAGTCCACCCAAATGATGGCTTTGCCATCACACACAAAAAAAACATTTTAAAACATATAAACAGAAAACAATATTTTAAAATTGTAATAAGTTGATCTCAATATTACTGTTTTTACTGTATCTTTGAACAAATAAATGCAGCCTTTGTGAGCATAAAATAATTTTTAACAGTACTATAAATTACCCACAATTAGGAATGCAAGATTTTGAAATTGTGGCCAATACAGATTCAAAATTATTTTCATGATAAATGGCAGATATTACAATTCACTATTATTTTATCTAAACAGACTAACAATAAAACACTAAACTAAAATGAATCCTTTTAAATTTTACAAGTGAATTTAGGCATTACAACATACATGGTTATTCATTTTTTCCAGATTTGTTTTTAACTATAAACATTATTTACATTAAAATATAAAAATGTAAAAAAAATAAACTGTTAATCTTTTCAAAAAACTATTTAAACATTAGATGACAGCAAAGATAAATGTCATGTTAACACAGTGGAAATGAGCATTACAATTAAATATCCAATTTCGTCCGAATTATATATTCAATAAAAGGTCAGTAACTGATGGTACAGATATCATGCGCTCCCACCCAAAATGCGTTCATGACAAACGTAACCCTCACCAATAGCGATGGAACGCAAGTACAGACGCTCTGCGTCATCGTACTGATTCATATCGTAGTTGTAGAGCGAGGCCAAGTGTCCCACTGACAGAGCCACCTCGTAGTCCTCCTGTCCCAACAGCTGCTCCTTGATCTGAATGGCCTTGATGTGCATCTCCTCTGCCTCCTGCATTACAAATCATACCATGGAAAGGTCAGTCATCCCAAGAGCAACCTCAAAAGCACTCTATGTTGAGTTTAGCTTACACAACAGAAAACAAAAACACGCAGCTTGCACAACGATCCACTATTACTTATACTACGGGTTTAAATAAGGAATAAATTAATTAGCACCTTGAATTTGCGCATGGATTGGTAGAGGCGGCCCAGGTTCCCGTAGTGTTTTGCCGTCTGAACGTTGAACTCTCCGAAAGCCTTTTTGGCCAACTGCAGGGAGGAGAGGTGCAGATCATGGGCCTCCTGCAGGAGGCGTTCCTCGGTTTCTTTGTTATGGCAATCAATGGCGATCTCCTCCAGGATTAGGGCTTGAGATGGAAGATCAGAAATACAAATTAGCTTGACGTAATGTGATTTTTCAACAAATCAAAAAAAAAAAAACACTTAAACTGAATGATGAGTGAAAAGATAATACTACTTTGAACTGTCAAGGGCCATCTTAATGTTGTCATTCCAGTAATGCAGCTGTGAATGAGAAGAGTTATGAAAGCTTTTCAAAGTGCTAGTCTCACCTTTCACCCTCTTGGATGAGGCCAGCAGCAGATGGTCTTCAGGGAGAATGTGAGTTATGATGTCTATGGCACGTTCTGCGTGGAATCTAAAAGTAAAATTCAAAGTATGAAATGGGTACATGTTATTCGATAAACACTTCCATGAAAAAAAACTAAACACAGAGGACAAAGCAGTTCTACAAGAACATCATAATTGTGTTAAAGTTTAGGGCAACTACTGGTCATCTGTGTCATGGACTTCTTCATAACACTCAAGGGACAAATAAAATGGTATGAAAGTTCATATGGGATTAGTTGCAACCAAAATACTGTTTTGTCTTGGTGTGAATAGAGCAACGTGGCAGCTTGCTTTTGAAGAAGTGACTCACAACACCAATTCAATTATTCATATTTTCATGGTGATCTAATAAGGATGTTTGTCTTCTTTCATAAAAACAGCAATGATATTTTGCCTCTGACCTATTACGTATTGTTCAATGCTGCCTAACGAATTCTGTTTTTGCAGCAAAGAGTCCCACAAAAGATTACTGATTTTTGTAAAGAAAAAAAAAATCTATATTATTTTGGTTACTTTTTTGTATTTCGGCTTAATATTGTTTATTAAAATGTAAATGCCATTACTTTAAAAAATACACTTTAATTACTTATTGTTACATGAACCACCAGTTAATAATGATACTGTTGATATCTGTGTGACACACAAAACAGTTCTAACTTCATTTCAAAACGGACAGAAATGAAGGAATTGTGGTCAAATAAATGATTAAGAAGCAAAATGCACTCCGATCGATTCTGTTCATTCAGTGAAGGATTCATTTTGAATGATTCAAACGGATAACAACAGTTTTTTGGATGATTCTTTAAAAGAACCAGCTCATGAGAGTCATCTGTCCATCAATCATCATCTGCAATTGATATGCTCTTTATGATTTAGAGTGCAAGAATAGTGGTGCACGAAACACTTGCACTGTCCATTTACCCACCTGACACAGATGTAATTATGGTTCAAAATGATATAAAATAATTCTTTCTCTGTAACTAATGTGCCCAGGACGGGATTGAGATACTCACAGTGCATTGTCGAATTTACCAGAGCTGTACTGATGGACGTAGGACGAATACGCCAGGTCCTCATGTGCAGTTGCAACATGAATATTCTTTCCTCCAAACACTGACTGCCGAATATCTAGTGCAGTCTGAAGGTAAAACATCAATAACAACAAGTAAATCACAAATAATCTTTCAAAGAATGAGAAAATCCTTTATTTATACTTTTTGAAATTCTTGGCTCACCTGGTAAATGGCCACTGATTGACAGATATTATCCACATTTAATAGATAAAATCCATAATCTAGTAGTGTATCTGAGTATTTTGGGTGCTTATGCCCAAAATGTTCCCTGAAAACAAAATGTGGAAATACACAGGCATTTCATTGCTGCCAAACAGAACATTTCAACACCACACATGCTTAAAAAAGAAATACGCTTGATAGTGCTTACCGTGCCAAGAAGACTGCATGTTTTATCAGTTGTTCAGCTTTCCTAAACTCCCGCTTAACAACACATGCCTGCAGGGATCAATATTCATTATTTAATGGAAAGAAGTTCACATGTATTAATAAAAACTCAAATATCTAACAATCACTGACCTTAGAGGCTTGTCTGAGAACATCAACTACTACTTTCACAGGTAAGCCAACGGTGATCTCCCTCATAGCCTCTATACACCACCTATAAGCCTGAAACACATTAAGCTGTAGAGCAGCCATTCTTCAAACAGACTTCTGGGATATTTGCAATGGGACTTACCTCATCATAGTGGCTTTTGGCAAAGAGTAGGGCACACAGTTCTCCATACAGGGCAGCCTTATTAGCCTGATGGCCATGTTTGGCTAGTTTGTCCATGTAAGACTGGGCCAGTTTGAAAGTTTCTTCTCCCAGGTGGTATTTGCAGTTGCCATTACGCACATGAAGTAACCTGGCATACAAATTCCACAATAACACATTAATAAGTTACTAATACAATTTACTCACCGTTAATATGACCATTTAGAGGTAGAAGAGACTCAAGCTGACCATTCACTCACCTCACACAACACTCCACTGCACGATACCAGTGAAGAACCTCATCGTGTAATGTGCACAGCTGGAGGCAAGACAGGAAGACTTTCTCTGCATCTCCATACCAGCCGGCATCTGATAAAAAGCCACCTGATATCCAAGCAAAGTATTATTGCAACAGCTTGTTAATACAAGCTGAAAAAGCAGAAAAGTGAGCCACATCAGTCATACCTAAAACAAAGCCAAACTGTATAGCTTTCTCTTTCACATGCGCATCTGACTCTGCGATGTATGAACATCGGCGGCTGAAAGAGTTGGCCAGGACTGAAGCAACCTTTACACCGTGGTCCATCAGAGCCTGGAAGCAGTGGTGTAGGAGGTGCCTGTGAAAGAAAATATGTACTTAGTCTTTCATAGAAGTATCAATAGAGCCTTATGAAAAATATTTTGCATGCATATATAAAGTTGCTTTTTTAGGGTGATAGTATAGAGATGTTTCTTTAACTTCAAGCAATGTCAAAATACTATTTAAAATATATAATATATTACTACTGGTGAACCAATATACTGTAGTTTTTAAATCAAAGCTAATATCTAGAAAGCAGGATGGCTGATATAATGCAAATATATGCTACACACTTAGCATATAATACACTACTGTTAAAATGTTTTTTTAAAGTAATTCATTTTTATTCAACAAGGATGCATTAAATTGATTATAATTGACAGTCACGTCTTTTACATTGCTTTAAATCTATTTTGAATACATGCTATTCTTTTTAACTATCTATTCATTAAAGAATCCTGACAAAAATGTACCAGTTTCCACAAAATTATTAGGCAGCACAACTGTTTTCAACTTTGATCATAAGAAATGTTTCTTAAACCGCAAATCAGCATATTAGAATGATTTCTGAAGGATCATGTGACACTGAAAACTGCTGAAAATTCAGCTTCGCCATCACATGAATAAATTACATTAATATAAAACAGTTATTTTGAAGTTGTAATATTTTACAATATTACGTTTTACTGCATCTTTGATGCAATAAATGCAGACTTGGTGAGCATTAGAAACCTCTTTCAAAAAAAATCTTACCAAGCCCAAGATGCAGTATATCAATATTTAAAGTGCCCCTGTTATGCCATTTTAATGTTGATAATATTGTTTTATGAGTCTCCTAAAACAGGTTTACATGCATGCAAGGTCAAAAAACACGTTAGTTTTCTCAAAAAAGAGATTTCATTTGACCTCATTTCTAAATGATTCGTAAATGACTCGTGCGAAGCAGTTCAAATTATCTGTCTCTCTAAACCCCTCCTTTCCGTGAGCCCTCACTGCTGTGATTGGTCAGATGGCAAAGTCCTTTGTGATTGGTCTAGACCCGTGTAGAGAGATCGGCTCTGGATTGGTCTACCGCGTACAGCGTGTCGGAAACGAAACGCCCACTGCCATGACGGAATGACAGCCTGGAGACTTGTCAATACATAGAAAAGATGGTTTCAATTGTACCTTAACAATTGGAGCCAGAGACTGATGATGAAACGGTTGAACTGGCTGATCGACAAGAGACTGATTCGCAAGCACGACTGGAGCAGGATGTTGCTCAGTGGTACTGTAAGTGTCAAGTGTTAACAAGCTTGTGGTAATTATAAGATATGATAAAACACATATTTACTCTCACAGCGTAGGATACAGCGTCTTCTCGACATGATGTTAACCACACGGAAATGTTACTGTTTGTGGGCGGGCAAATTGGCGATGTAGAACGTGGGCAGACATTATGCAAATGTGTTACTTCATGATGTACAGTCGTAACAGATTAAGATTCGAATTCCTGACGATTCGTTTAGGCGATTGCGAGCCGACTTTTTTTTGATAGACAATAACTTTATTTATCGTGCACTATCGGCTTCACAACTTTGCAGATAGTTTATGTTCACATACAGCTACATGACACACTGCATGAAAGGTAATATTTGAAAAGGCATAATAGGGGCACTTTAACATTTAAAAAAAATTAGTACAAACATGATCAAATTAGTTTCTATCACCACATAAATTACTCTACAACCAAGTCTTGTGAAGATGCCAATAAAGGCCTGCACCATACATCATGTGAGATTTGAATCATCTGCCCAAAATACACACACACTCAGTCTCATTCAGCGTGGCCATAAACACATCATTAAGATATGAATTTGAGCTATATTACCTTGATAGACAGAGTAAGAGTGGACTCAAATACCTTTTGTCAGAGGCCCTGAGGACTTTAGCGAAGACCTCCAGCTCACAGAACTCCCCTCCCAGCTGGCAGAGGCGGCCTTGCTGGTAAAGCTGGAACACATGAAGAAATGTGAGACTGCTGCTGACCCTATTGTACATGTGACACAAAGACAATTCAAGCTTTCCCTTGGGGGTGCCAAGAGCCAGAAAACCAGGAAAAGTAGCCATTATGAAAACAGAATGTACAATCAGGAAGAGTTTGAGCAAGACCAATAATACGTGCCAAAAACATTTTGTTTGTGATCTGGCACATCTGGTATCCGACACCAAATAGCCTGACTGTACAAAGCTGTGAAAAACCGAATGCAAACATTAAATGGTTAAATTATCTTCACAATAGTGTAATTTAACCCTTGCTGTTATATTTGAGGCTAAAATCTATGATCATCCGAATTTAGCCTTTTTGACTCAAAAGCCCCAAACTGTCGACAACAATATTCAAAAGCCCCATAACTTTACCAGTATTTCTTGATTTACTAAAAAGGGATTAAGAATAAGATTTTTTAAATATATATATGTATGTACTTACAATTACTACCCGAGAAAATATTTTAGAACTTGGCATAACTAGAACAAGTATAATATAAAGTATAAAAATGGAGTAATAAGTTTTATTAATGTACATTATTTTTCCACATCTAGAAATAATACTTCAGTTAAACTTAATTTGTTAAGTCATTTCAACTACACTGACGATAAATGCAGCCCTCTCTTTGGCAATACAGAAAATTTTAATCATTCCTCAATCATTAGTCATTTGTGGACAACAAACTGTGATAGCCTTTGTATAAAAAATGAAAAAACCCGGAAAAAGTGGGATTGGTCAAATCACATATTTCCAAACCTCAATATCCAAAAAGGCAAATCAAATAAAAAGAGTTAAACAGGTTGCACTAAGTGGCTTCAAAACACATGAAAAATGCATTATTTTATACAGTTTTTAAAATATTTCACATAAAGATTAATGAGATAAAATCAGTAATTTGGGGGTTTCATACATAAATATATGCAGTAGCACTTAACAATAAGGTCCCATTAGTCAAACCAGTAGCTAACATTAACTAACAATAATATTTATTATTCTTTGGTAATTTTAGTTAATAAAAAATGATCAACTGTTCATTTTTAGTTAATGTTAGCTCACGGTGCATTAAATAATAATAAGAGATCCAACTAGATTTTAAATAATATATTAATAGGCTATATGTTGAAATGATCATTAAACACATTTAATATGTTTCAGAAGTATTTTTAATTTTTAGTTCATGTTAACAAAAGAGACCTTATTAAGTTTTACCATGCCTCTATTATTCTGTCTAATAAGTGTCTGTACTTATACTGTACAGTGTTTATTAATACTTTTCACAGTGGTTGGTGACAAACCATTCAAACCATATATTCAGATGCCAGTTGTCTTATCTCACGAAGTCGTTAGAAACACGGTTATGGTTTAAATACTCACATAACATTATAATAAACATATTACACTGGGCTCGTACCCATAAATAAGGTAAACAGGGTAAAAAGTGAGATGTCACTGTGTTATATAGTTAACTAGTCTTGACCCAGAGAGCTGTAGCTCATACAGCAGTGAGTTAGATAAGGTACATGCGAAGATAACTGGAACATAGTGTCCACTTCAACCAGCCTTCACATAGAAACGAGTGGACTCTCAAAACAGAAAACCTGAACGGTTAAATCGTCTGGTAGCTCGAGTCTCTCCTAACCAGCGCTCCACTGAGAGGTCGCATCAGTTTTTGTTAGCCGAGCTGCTAGTAAAAAGTGTCAAGATGCCTTTGACGTTTGTTCCACACTGAACCCATTCGCTTTCCTTCTCACCTTGTAGTACACATCAAACTGTATGTTTTCAGGCAGAGAGCGGATGTCCCGTCGCGATCGGCCGTAGTTGTCGACCACGGCTGAGATAGCGGTGTTGTACAGGGTCTCAGGGATCCATTCCAGCTCCACCGCGGCCATATTGTTTTCTTTCACTAAATCCAACCACAGCCCCCCTCTTCCACTCCTACTTTCACCTCCTTCGCTACCTGATCGAGGTAAAACTCTTTACTCTGATGCTCCTCATACACCCCCGCAGCTGGAAGCGCTTTTAGAGATCGAAACGGACTGTTATGATAGAGAACACAACCCTAAGGTTATGCTCTCATGTTTAAAGCTCATCCCCGATCGAGATGCCCCGCCCACTCTATGACACTCTGGGCGATGACGTCGCGCTAGAGCTCAGCTCGCGCTCAGTGAATTTCAGCGCATTTGAGCTAAAGACTACTTGAAAATTGAACGGGCTTTTTTCTTCTTCAAGTATTATTATTGATTTTTATTTATTGCTGTTTTATTTTTTTTTCTATTGTAATGTAAACGCATTCCTTTAATTGTGGTATCTTTTTGGATGTCTTGTTAAAGTTGTAAATGTTGCATGTTATGTAAAAAAAAAAAGAAAAAAAAAGTGAACTTGCATTTGACTGTAGTTCAGTGTTGCCAAGTCCGCGCTTGAACCACGGAATAGGGCTATTTTAACACCATTGCCTCGGGTTGATGCGACCCCAATAACGTGATAGTTATCCGCTGGAATGCGAATTTGACCAGGATAACCGGGTGACCCCCTCGAAAGGGATTGGGCTAGTTTTGAGTAGCAATTGTGTGAGAAAACCTGGCAACCCCGTTATAGTTCAAAATAACGGCCGTTGCAGTGTTGCCAAGTCCTCGGTTTCCACGCGGAACTGGGTTACTGTTTTTATTATAATTTTTTTTTTTGCTTTATTAATTCAATGCCACAAGAACATGAGGTATTACATATTCACATGATCAAATTAACATTATTAGCTGCCAGAGGGGAAAAAAAGAAGGGAAAAAAAGGAAGAAAATTGAACTGGGTTACTGTTGCCGGGGGTTAAGCTACCCCAATAACGTCATATTTAGCCCCTGCAATGCCAATTTTATCAGGGGTAAGTTTTGAGTAGCAATTGGGTGAAAACTGGCAACCGTGGGCCGCTGGGAGGACGACGGAAATCTCTCTTTAATCAAATTTTGTGCCACAATTTAGCATCGATAGTTATGTGGCAGTTAGTCTACGTCTATTGGCCATCTTTATATAGGCCTACATATAAAATATATTTCTTTGATGGGAAAATTGATTAAAATGATTAATAAATCCTGCACTACATTGGTCAAAACATCAAAAAAGGTCAAATTAAAATGCATAAATCATTTTAAAACATTCAGCAATCAAAACGACACACTTCTTTATAGTGATGGGAGAAACGATTCGATGTTTCGAAGCACTTGAAACAGCACATGCTGGCGAAAACGTTGTAAAAGCATCAAGAACTCAGACCAAACTTACAAAACAAATGGAAATGTTTTTTTTTTAGAAATATAATTTAAAAAAAAAACAAAAAAAAAACACTTAAATAAAACACATACTGATAAAAAATATATAGCCTGAATGCACTGTAAGTCGCTTTGGATAAAAGCGTCTGCTAAATGCATACATTTAATTTAATTTAAATACTATTAAATATTAGTGCTTGTGTTATGTGTTTTATTTAAGTATAATCAAACTCTTAACACACAATGAACTAAATGAATTATTTAATGAATTAATTGATTTATGTATTTTTTTAAATTAAGTGTTTTCGTTAGAGCTGTCTATATAAACCAGCAGGCAAGAGTAGTGTTATCAGTCAGGAGAAGGAGGTGGATTTAATTCTATCGTAAACTATGATGTGATGAATTTGATTTTACTATATAGCCATCCCTGTTAAAGGGAAGTTATCTTTTGTTTAACCCTCAACGTCTGGCCCTGAATTCTTTATTTTTTTAAAGTACAATTTCGTGGGTTTTCATGCCACACGATTAACTGGGCAACCAGAAGAGGTTCATGGGTTCACTTTGAGATCAGCGCCCCCTATTGGTGAATGGTTCAGAATGGTTCGGAGTTTCGAAACGTTTCGAAACAGTGTGAGGTAACGAAGCTTCGTTTGCTCAAATCACGTGACCTGGCCGGTTTGATACGCGCTCCGAAACACTGATTCGAAACAAAAGATTCACAAATGTTTCGAAACTTCGTGAAGGCGTGAACCATCACTACTTATTTAAAATAATAAAATATTGTACTCGTTTACCTGCTCGTCATGTGACCAATAACCGATAAAACATTGATTGAATGTGTAGTCAAATCCTTGAAATATTTCCTTAAAATCTCAGGGGATCTTAGGCTACTTCAAGAAAATATTTTAGGTAAAAATATTAAAATAGTTTTCTATTAAATTGTAGGCTCTCTTGTTGAATATGTTTTCGCGGTTGTTTTAAGTAGCCTATACCTCATTCTGCAGTTTAGAGAACATATTAACTCAATAGACAATGGCAAAATATTATTATTTTGCATTGATAAAAATATATTTCAGAATACAACAGAGATGCAAAGAGATGTTCCTTCCCTTGTGAGAGACTTGAAGTTTGCTCGTGGCCATCATCTTGGCTAGTAAAATCCATTTTGTAGCAGCATAAGAAAATTCTTTAAAATCTCAGTTCTTGTTGTATGTAACACCTGTGTAGGTGAGAAATGAGCATTTTAGCCTAGTGAAATTAAATGAATGGATGCCATTAGTCTGAATGTTATTTCTCTGACTAGATCTCAACCGGTCTCCCTCATATAATATGGGTGGAGTATTCCTTTGTGCCGCTGATAGTATCATGCATCCTATCTTATATCTCATTAGTATAATTGTAACCATTATTTCTCATTATTTTTAATGAAGTACTTGAAAATCATTTTACAATATGACAAGTTAAAATGGTTAATCAGTTAAGCAAAAATCACAAATGATCCCATTCACCTGAATAATTGTGTTAGACCATAGTGCACTATGAATAAAATATACAAAAGTACATATAATAACATAATAAGCTCAAAAGCAATTACAAGTACAAAACAAAATATAATTGGGCTGATTTGTGAGCATTTTAAACATCGATGATCACTTAAAATTGCAAACTTATTTTTCAAATGTGTCACTATAATTGTCAGGTAATTTTATAAAGAAAAAAAGGTCCTCACAAGTGTAGTCAAACTTGTGTACGCACACTTATACAGTGCTATATATGATGGTATTTAGAAACTAAACAAAAACAGCTGGCAAAAGGACAAGGCATTAGATAGTGATCTAATTAAGAAGACCATGACCCCAAGATCTCGTCGCCCACAAGACCGGTACCTGTGTTATTTTAGTATTATTTATATAATATTTACATTTCTATTAACACGAATTAGCATTTTGTTAAAATGAAAAAAAAAAACATTACTTTTTTATTTTCAGTTTTTATTGAAATTTTATTTTAATTATTGTGTAATTTTGTTATGTGCTTTTGCCATTTTTATTAGTTTTCTAATATTACTATTTAGTTTTTTTTAGATTGATTTTTATTTAGTTAGTTATTTATTTGTCAGTTAGTAATTCCAGTGCTTCAAATGAAATATATTTTATTGATATTGTAAATAAGCTTTTATTTTATTTTAATTATTGTGTAATTGTATTTTGTGCTTTTGACTTTTTATTATGTGTTTTTGTTTTTTAAATATTTAATGATCTAATATATTTATTTATTTATTAATATTTATTAATCTATTAATCTATTTTTATTTCAGTCGCAGTTTTAGTTTAGTTTTTGCTTTTTTTATTTTTATTTATTACCCATTTATTACCATAAATGCTTCAGATTAAACGTAATTTAATTTGTTTGCAAGGCAACAGTTCTACTTTTCAATTAAGTTTAAGTTTTTCATCTAATATTTATATTTAATTTCAGATTTATTTCAATTAACAACAGTAGCTTTAGTTAATGATAATAACCGATGACCCATACCTATCTAATCAAGACCCTTTTATACATCCCTAGATCTATTCTGAGATGATTTTACAGCTGATGACCACCAAAAGCAAAACGAGACAATGGGTTCTTATTCTATTATTATATCAATCAATTCCTATGGCATTGACTTCTGCAGCTGTAGTTCCTAACGCAGGCAGCAGGTGTCGCTGTTTCTTCTCGCTAAACAATAAGCAGCATGAGGCCAACCTACCGCCTTTATCACTGTATATTTACAACAGTGCTCGCCTGCTCACGTTCAGCTGCGCCCATCTAGAGGATAGAGCGAACAGAAAAATACCGTTCCCTGCCCAAAACTGGATTCTCACAACGGTGAGTGCAGTCGACTTTTATGTATTTATAAAAAAAATTTAATTACGTAAACTAGATAATATCCAGTTATTTCCAGGAGGTAAAATCTCATGTCAGGGATGTGAGCCTGGGTTCAACAGCAGTCCGCTGCTGGATATAGAGGCGAAGAAAGGACCCTTATCAGCCACTTACTCATGCTAACTGACCTGCTAACTGTAGCCGGAGGATTGTTACATTCACTGTTCATTGGCAACCTTGCGGGTTTAAAGGTTCGATAGTTTCTCGCTAAAATCTGTATAATTTGGTGGTCTGCGTTTAACAGTTCCAGTCCGTGTCCAGCTAATTTAAAGGCTTAGCGGCTGATCTTGAGCGTTAGCGTCTGGCTTTCCTGCCGCAGATGATTGACGGAGGTTTCTTGTACTAACGTGCTTCTCTTCAAAGTGACTCTCGCCTGGCTTTTTATCTGTCTGGCATTTAATGCGTCAATGATACATTGTAAGCAAACCGCAGGCTTCTTCTACATTGAAACAGAATTCTTCATTATATTGTAACATTGTCGCCCTCACTTTCCTTTCATGTCAACGGTCAAGTGCAAGTCCATGTGTCTATAAACAACTGTATTGAAATGAATCATTAAATTCTTACAGAAATTGACAATGGTAACAACAGTCTCCAAAATTACATAGTTAATACAACGATTGATTACTGTACTTGTGTTAAAATAAGCTTTCAGCAACCTTTCTGTCATTGTCATGACTGTATAGTTTAATATAATGTTACCACAATTATTGTTATACCAGCTAAAACTATAGTAGAGAAATGTACATAACTCAGTCTAATGATGTCTACTCGCAGACAGTCTAACACCGTCTACTATCCTCCAAAAGCATAGGGTCAATAAGTATTTTTTTGATTAATAATTTTACTCCGCAAGGATGCATTAAATTGTTTAAAAGTGATAGCAAAGACATTTATTTTACAGAAGTGTTGTATTTAAAATAAATGCTGTTGAATATTGGAAACTGGTTACCATAGTACTTTTTTTTATTTTTATAGGAGACTATCTTTTTAAAGCTAATTCAAATGTGCTGAGCATGTTCAAAACCCCACATCAGGGGACAAAAATGAAGCTAATAATCTGTGCTATAAAGAGGCTGATGAAAATTAAAATGAGAATAACTAATGCACTGAACATTAGTAGCATTATTATCATAATTAATGTTGATGCCTTAATTGTTTATACAAACTAGGGTTCACTAGTATTTTTTGCATTTGTATTTTAATGTTGAACTCAAATTATGAATAGTACTAGAACTAGTAGAGTAGGTAGTAATAGGTAGTATCACAATGCATTAAGCGTGCATTGCATAAAGCCTTTTATGGGGAAGAATTGCCTTCCTGTATTATGGGGAAGAATTTGGCCCCTTGTTAATGGAACTTGTTTGGATGATGAAGTCTCCCGCTGGTGGGAAAATAGGAATGTTAGAGGCCCGTGGCTTACATAGCACCTCCCTAATGCCTCAAACCCTGTTTGTTTCACATCCTTATAGTGAAATAATGATACAATATCTTCATTACTCTAAAACCAGTCAATTTTGCTGTTCTGGGGTGCGTTTCCCAAAAGCATTGTTGGCTAACTATGGTTGCAAGTTCCATTGAACTCTATTGGAAACGCACCCCTGGTAAATATTGTCATGCTACATTATGATACAGAAGTTTGTTTCTTGTGTGAAGGCCAGTCAGTGATTTCTACATAATTTGGCTTTATTTTTTCATAAAATGATTGCATATTGTAAGGCATTTGCCGCTCAGTAGGAAATTATGACTTGACTGGTGTCTAAAAGAGTCTAATTGTGCAGAGAAACATGAAAAATGATACAATTATTGATGTTATGTTATTTTTCTCTTTCCAGGGAGCTATATTTAATCCATTCTGGATGTACAGAAGCCACTCTGTCTCTGTATGGAAAAATCGCTTGCTTGTGAAAACATTGGTGCTTCTGTAGTGGAACGTAGACTACTTTTGGGGACAGTATGTTCAACTTGATGAAAAAAGACAAGGAGAAGGATGGCGTCAGGAAGGAGAAAAAAGACAAGAGAGACCGGAGGGAACGGATGTCAGCAGCTGAGCTCCGAAGCCTGGATGAGATGAGCATGAGACGGGGTTTCTTCAACCTCAACCGGAGCTCCAAACGGGACTCCAAGAACAAGTTGGAGATCTCGAACCCAATACCTATTAAAGTCGCCAGCAGCACTGAGCTCAACCTGACCGACATAGAGTCGGATGGCCTCAGTAACCGCAGCAGCATGGTCCTGGATGTAGATCAGCTCAGCGCGGCCAGTTCCAGTGACGATCTGAAGGGCGATTACGGCCAAGATGGCCACCGGAGCTCTGTCAAGGAGCGTGCGGCCAGGTTCGGCTCCCTCGCCATTCAGAACTCGCAAATGGGTTCCATCATGAAGCGATTCTCCTTTTCTCAGAGGAATAAAGAAGAAAGTCCATCCGAAGGTTCCACACCTTCTGGGCAGAACTCGGCTGCCCCGTCTCCACAGGTAGAAACCAAGATCTTTGACCCCCAACGTAAGCCAAGTCTCCAGCATCATCAGCGACAGCCTTCTACTGGGAAAAAGGTGCAGATTCCTGAGATTGTGGATAAGACGTTTCCAGCAGACCTCCGCTTGCCTGCTGTTGTGCCACCGCAGACGCCTGAAGTTCGGGAGCTGGTTCTTCAGAGGCGGAATACTGGGGATTTTGGGTTCTCCTTGCGGCGCACCACCATGTTGGACCGTGGCACGGATGGAGGGGTATATCGCAGCGTGGTCCACTTTGCGGAACCAGGTGCTGGTACCAAGGACCTGGCTCTTGGTTTGGTTCCCGGAGACCGGCTGGTGGAGATCAATGGGCGAAATGTGGAGAACAAGAACAGGGATGAGATTGTGGAGATGATTCGGCAATCAGGTGACACGGTTCGGCTGAAAGTTCAGCCCATCCTGGAGCTAAGCGAGCTGAGCCGATGCTGGCTGAGGAACACCGAAGGGCTGCGGCGGGAAGCATTTGACGTAAGTCCACACTTTCTGTCTCTTCTCTCATTCATGATCACAGTCTTTCCAGGCAACTCCCCACAAGCCTGCCCAGCTCTTACACATGTGGAGCCAACTGGCTCTTCTCGAGAGTACAAGCACATCATTTAAGATGAACATGTTCTTGTGCAACAGGAAGCGGATTCCTTTCCAGAATGAACATCTGTCACGATGTGTCTAACAGAATCTTTTCTTCCTTCAGCTTTCCACAAGTGATGACTTTAATGACAGGCTATGAAACTGTTTTGTTTGTGTTTTTCTTTGCAGTTGTTGTGTAATAGTTGGACACAGTGCGACATTAAATTCAGAATTTTCCCCATGGAAATTTCACATGCAGCAGCACACAGTTCACAGTTTAGTTTTGGTATGTAACTATAAATTGCACTTGCTGTTGATGCTGGTCAGGCGCATTTTCTTGTGTGAGAAGAGTGTGATGAATGGGCGGCACAGCTCTTTCGTTTTTCCTTGACATAGGGAAACCATTGAAACTTATCTGTCGTGTTATGCACTGCTTCCTTGTTGGATAACAGATAAGAAAGGCACTTTGGGGTAAATGTTTTGTTTTCTCTAGGATGGGTGGAGGTTGTGTCTTTATTAACTAGCATGTGTGCCACTACTTGGCTGGATTCAATCTGACCTGCTGTCATGCCAAGTTGCACATGTTGATGCTGAGACGACTCGCAAAGCTTCCTCCTACAGTAACCGCTGAGGGCATTATGTAAGACTCTTTGATAACTATACTCATTGGATTCCTAGCATTTAGCAGTGTTGTTTGCTTGCTTGGAAAACAGTACATTCAGTTGACATACTCTTTTGCTGAGTAACATGCATTTAGAAGACCTCGATAATTTGTTAAAAGGTATTCTCTAGCTGTCTGTGAAACATGAGAGCGCACAACAGAGAGTTGTGACACACAAGTGAGCTTTGAAACTGTGAGTGCATCTGAATCATTCAATGTGTTGTGTGGTGAAGAAAGGTGTTGGCTGTTTAATAATTATGCCCTTCAGTTTGCTGTTTGCTGACAATTATGAATTTAAATGGTCCCTTTGCAACTACTGTATTTTTCTTCGGGGGGTTCATAGTCCTCTAAGGGATCACGAGAACGTTGCTGTTGGTTTACAAGATTGTGATAGAAATGCAATGGCCAATTAAATTGACAAATAAATGTAAATATTAAATAACATTTAAATGATTGAATAATGATTTATTAAAATATTAAATAAATTAGATGCATTTAAATAAACTAATTAGTGGTTGACCGATATTGTTTTTTGACAGCCAATGCCGATATTTCAGAGAGCAGGGTGACCAGTAGCCAATATAAAGCCGATATATTGCTCTGCACCAAAAGTCCCACCTCAAGCACATCAGCCAAACAGAAAAGCTTATCAGCCAATGCCGATATTTGAAAAATGCCAAATATCGGCCGATATACTGTATATATATATATATATATATATATATATATATATATATATATATATATATATGCTTTTGCAATAATCGGTCGACCACTAAAACTAATTATTAAATAATTAAATTACTAAATTATTTAATTAAATTGCTTGAATGCAAAATTCATATTTATTAAAAGGTTTGTGTTACAATTTTAGAGGGTACATAATGTAAATAATCTAGGTGATATTAGCCATTTTCTGACATTAAACTCATTGAACAGATCTGCTATTTACACATGTAACAGCTTTCCTTCTTTTATCCGTATTGCTACAATTCTGTTGTCAACAAAATGCTGCTAACACTGTGTGAAGGAATTTTTGTTTTTGTGCTTGTCCAATTTGGCGACATTTATTTCTACACTGCAGATAATCACAGTATTTAACTAAACTGTGTTGAGTAATTGCTTCAGCTCCTTCAGAAACTCTTTGACAGCAGACTTATTTAAAAGCGCTTTAACACATACATGCTCAAACAGCTATTCTTACAGCTTACGAATTACAATTAAATTAAGTCACCTAAATCGAAAACATCTGTTGTATTTACAGAAAAATTTGGTTGAGAAAAATGATGAATCCCTGGCATTGACAGTTACTTTTGTAAAATGTTGGCCACATGATCATTTGGGTTGAGGAATAAAGAGTGTTAAAAAGAGTCCTAAGTGTTTTTGTACTTGTTGAAACAGACCCTGGACTTTTTGTAGTCAGTCATGACCTAGAGCATGTGAAGAGCAGCTGTACTTCTGCAGGCTGAACTGACCTACAGGTGCCTGACAGCACAAAGGCAGAGTGCATCTTTATCATTACTGCATATACAGGTGCATCTCAATAAATTAGAATGTCGTGAAAAATTTATTTCAGTAATTCAATTCAAATTGTGAAACTCGTGTATTAAATAAATTCAATGCACACAGACTGAAGTAGTTTAAGTCTTTGGTTCTTTTAATTGTGATGATTTTGGCTCACATTTAACAAAAACCCACCAATTCACTATCTCAACAAATTAGAATACTTCATAAGACCAATAAAAAATTTTTTTTTGTGAATTGTTGGCCTTCTGGAAAGTATGTTCATTTACTGTACATGTACTCAATACTTAGTAGGGACTCCTTTTGCTTTAATTACTGGCTCAATTCGGCGTGGCATGGAGGTGATCAGTTTGTGGCACTGCTGAGGTGGTATGGAAGCCCAGGTTTCTTTGACAGTGGCCTTCAGCTCATCTGCATTTTTTGGTCTCTTGTTTCTCATTTTCCTCTTAACAATACCCCATAGATTCTCTATGGGGTTCAGGTCTGGTGAGTTTGCTGGCCAGTCAAGCACACCAACACCAGGGTAATTTAACCAACTTTTGGTGCTTTTGGCAGTGTGAAGGAAGCATGAAGTGCTCCAAAATTTCTTGGTAAAAGGGTGAAGTGACGTTGGTTTTCAAAAAACACAATGGACCAACACCAGCAAATGACATTGCACCCCAAATCATCACAGACTGTGGAAACTTAACACTGGACTTCAAGCAACTTGGGCTATGAGCTTCTCCACCCTTCCTCCAGACTCTAGGACCTTGGTTTCCAAATGAAATACAAAACTTGCTCTCATCTGAAAAGAGGACTTGGGACCACTGGGCAACAGTCCAGTTCTTCTTCTCCTTAGCCCAGGTAAGACGCCTCTGACACTGTCTGTGGTTCAGGAGTGGCTTAACAAGAGGAAGCTACAGCTTAACAACTGTAGCCAAATTCCTTGACACGTCTGTGTGTGGTGGCTCTTGATGCCTTGACCCCAGCCTCAGTCCATTCCTTGTGAAGTTCACTCAAATTCTTGAATCGATTTTGCTTGACAATCCTCATAAGGCTGCGGTTCTCTCGGTTGGTTGTGCATCTTTTTCTTCCACACTTTTTCCTTCCACTCAACTTTCTGTTAACATGCTTGGATACAGCACTATGTGAACAGCCAGCTTGTTTGGCAATGAATGTTTGTGGCTTACTCTCCTTGTGAAGGGTGTCAATGATTGTCTTCTGGACAACTGTCAGATCAGCAGTCTTCCCCATGATTGTGTAGCCTAGTGAACCAAACTGAGAGACACTTTGCAGGTGTTTTGAGTTGATTAGCTGATTGGCATGTCACCATATTCTAATTTGTTGAGATAGTGAATTGGTGGGTTTTTGTTAAATGTGAGCCAAAATCATCACAATTAAAAGAACCAAAGACTTAAACTACTTCAGTCTGTGTGCATTGAATTTATTTAATACACAAGTTTCACAATTTGAGTTGAATTACTGAAATAAATGAACTTTTCCATGACATTCTAATTTATTGAGATGCACCTGTACGTAATAAAAAAATGGTCTGTATAGCTTACAGTAAGGGTGGACCTGCTTCTCAGGTTCAGCATTTGTGTCTGTGATAAATCTTAACTCAAGCACTAACGTCTGGCTAATGGTACTATTGTGCTGTAATAGGCTTAGAAAAATAAAGTGATCATCAGCCCTGCCTGTTTGTGAAGGGCTTCCTAATGGTTTTTCCTGTGGAATAGTCTTAACTCTCATTGATAGGCCAGATTTGTGGCAGCATCATGTGGCAGCACTTCCAGGAAACTCAAGATTTGTTTAGCTTAGTTTTGAGTGATTCTTGCCCATTTGGTAACAGACCATCTCGTAACAATTAGAACCAACCGATTCATCATGTGCTTCTGCAAATTGGTTTCTGGAGAGCACCTCCATCTCATACCAGAGTGGGTCTGCTGTGCTATTTTGGGTTTTACAAACAAACAAGAGGGACCCGCTGTAGTCATTATGGTTCATTACATGGCCTCAGGTCAGTGGGAGTATTCTGTGCTGGTTACCCTGACTCTCGCCCCACTGTCTATCGCTCTCTATCGTCTTTTGGCAAGCTGTGCTACAAGCATTGTCTGGAACATCTAATATGTCCTCTGAGAGCATTCATTTTGAGCTGCTTTTGTTGTGAAGCTGTTTTAAAATAAGGATTGGCAGGATGTACTCTAGTATGTGGAAGTGGCAGCAGTGATTGTTTATTAAAACACGTTATTTGTGTTATTGAAAGACCAATATATTGGCCAGTCAGAATTTTCAGGTGATATTTGGCTATTTTAACCATGTTCACTTGGAAGAAAGTGTTCTCCTCTTGACTTTATCACTTCCAAATTCTACTAAAACTTGTCATTTTCATCAACGATTTAAGACTTTTGTTCATCTTTGAAATGCAAATGAAGATATTTTTAATGACACTTAAAAATATCTCTGTCCCTCCATTGAAAGTCCATTACACCAAAACTTTGAAGTTCATAGAGAGATTGTAAAAGGAAATCCAAATGAATCAAGCAATTTCATCTTTTGAAGAGGCACAGTCTCTTTATATGGACCTTTGGAATGGACTTTTAATAGAGGGATAGCAATCTCTTAGGTTTCATTAAAAATTCTCCATTAACTGTTAAATATCTTTAAAATAGCAAGGCTCCTTTTCATTTCAGAAAGTTTGAGATTAAGTTGTCATTTTTCGAAATGTCTGTCAGCC